TATATTTTTAAAAAAAAATTGTTTATTTTTAAATTTTGGGTTCGAAAATCGATCTAAATTAACAAAAAAAAAAAAAAAAAAAATTTTGATTTTTATTTTCGTTGACATTCTTTTCGAATTATGTTTTTTTTATTATGCATATTATTTTTTTTTTTTTTTTTTTTTTTTTTTTTTTTTTTTATTAGTTTAGTTTTGATATAATTAGTATTGTATTGATTAATTTTTAAAGACATTTATTATTTTATCATTTTGAGCAAGTTGTCATAGTGTGATTTGAAAATTCTTTGAAATATAATGTGTACTAGTGGCTGTTTATGAGACTGGTACCTTAGGAATACCTACAGTACACTGAAGCCTACAACGAGGAATACTGTGAATATGTTTATGGAAAAAAGGTTTTTGTTTGGGTCCTATGACAACTTGGTTTCAATGCATCAATTGTTTTTAAAGGTTGGGGCCTTGGCAAACTCGCATTTTACTACATTTATCTCTTCGTGCTGTGGACGATCATAATATCAATCCACCAATCTGCGAATTTTCGTAAAAAATGTATCTGTTATAGGATGTAGTAATTCTGATAGATTCGTATATTGTCTCCATTAAAAAAAGGTACGGTCAAAGACTTATTTTAAATTACTAAAACATGACTACAAGGGGTTTTGCCATATTTCGAAATATCATGGTAAATTTCAACAGTAAACTAATCTTCATTGATGAATTTCGATTGCCGAGTATCTCAAACTTTGCGAGATTTGCGAGTATAATTATGTATATTTAATGGATATTCCATTTCTAATTCTACTATCAGCTCACCAGTTGAATCGAATCAATGTATATGTTTCCCTGGTAATAGAATATATTTGGACGTATTTTATCTAGGTGCTCGGTGGCGTAGAGGTACAGGCTCTGGTCTACCAATCTCAAGGTAGTGGGTTTCGATTCCCACACCCGGCTTTGCATCAGCCGACTTTTTTATTAAAATAATGTTTGTATAGGTGACTCACTATGAGTTGGTTCACTCTGAGTATTTATAATAGGCGTTAGAGCTATGCTATGACTTACTCCTTGTATACCGAAGGGTTCTAGTATGGCAAGCTTTACTTTGCTACTCCCAAGGTGTTGAACGCTATATACGGGAGT